ACATAGAAGTCAGATAATTTGGAAAGTCATTTACTCTGAGTCTCAGTTTCTGGGTGCACAACACGTTAGAGTTAAATATTAGGGTATACTATTGAATTGTTTATAGCATCTAGTGACTTTTAATATTTTATCCAGCTGGCTTAGGTTGCTAAACTTTGATAGAAGCTCAGCTTCAAGAGAAATCGATGCTTTTATGCAATCAACCACTTTCTACTGGCCAGCAGCTACAAGTACAGAGATGTTTAACAAGAGAACCCTTTTTATGTGTCATAATTAAAGTCCATCTCCCAGAATATGCAGCACACATGCATGGACATCTTAGTAGTAAAACACAAGTTTTAGATAGACACGTGGCATCCATGTAAGCAGAGCAGCCTGTCCTTGCAGTGGTTGGCCCTGACGGTGGTGGAGGAATTACCAGCTCCTCCGGTCCTCTGATGGCTCCTCAGTGGCTCTGTGGAATTTCCCTCTGATTGCCCAGCAGGCCGAGCTGCTTCCACCCCGTCTTTGCCCCTGTCTCCTTCACTGGGAATCAGGCTTGCACTGTGGTCTGATGGCTCTTCCAGCCTTTCCTACTTGCTTCCTATTTCCTCTCCCACAGGGACTTTCCTGAATGAAACCCTTACCGTGTTTAATCTCATTTTGTCCTCTGACTTGGATGAAGTAGGATCTAACCCTAGAAGCCCTTTTCTTAGTTTCATTGATGTGTTCCCTGGTCATGTAGCAGAGTGGACAAGAGAGCGAGTTCCGTGCAGCGTGAGCATACCCCACCTGTTGCAAACAGCCCCAAATTGCAGATTGTAGTGGCCTCTTTCAGGATGAAAGGCGGGTTTCAAGGAAGAGGCTTCCTCTGGGTTAAGCTTTTGAAATCTTTATTATTTGAAATTATTGCTTGAAATTTTATTACTTATCATGGTCCTACTAGTTTATTTAAAAATATCTTCATTTTTCTGTATAGAACAAATGTGACATGTTTGGCTTTCGATAGAGAAAATCAAGGAGTTATCTATCATACCGACAAGGAGAGTTAAAAGGAAAGGTTAGAAAAGAACTCTTGCAAGGGGAGGTTTTGGAGGAGGTGGAAACATCTTTCCCAGGAGAAGAGCAAACTCTTAACTGCGGCACTAAGCGTCAGAGCTGAACTCAGGAGGAACTGGGCCTTGGGAGACGGAAACTGCCAAGGACTGATCTCTGAAAGCCCCTGTTTTTGCGACTGCAGCAGGGATTCTGACTCGGCAGCTGTGGGTTACTGTGACATTTGTACTTGGACCCTGCACTGCTGTGAGCTCCCAGGTATTCTAATGTAGGGGGTCTGCGGATCAGAGCTTGGAGTGAACTGCCCTAGGTGGTTTGTCACATTCAGGATGTAGGGAGGCAGGAAGATGGGTGGAGTAGACCTTCCTCAGAGGCAAGGAAAACCAGTCATGTGTTTAAAAAGATAACTAGAATATCTGGAAAAATTTAAATGATTTCTAAACTTTTCACAGCCTATATATTTGATCATAGTTTTGTCCTAATGAAGCTGTTTTTCCCTCATTCATTTAGCAGGTGTCCTTCAGCGTCTTCCCCGGTAGAAGCAGGGTAAGAACCAGGGCTACTTCAGAGGAAATGAAGGAATCGGGCAAGGTGTGCAGGCCAGTCGGGACCAAGCCTTGCGAATCGTAAGGTAGGAGCTGGAGACTTTTCCTGAGAGGGTCAGACGGTAAATGTTTCAGGCTTTTTGGGGCCACACGTTTTCTACACAAGGACTCAACTCTGCAATTGAAGCCCCAAAGCAACCACAGACAATAACTGAATAGGTGGGCTGTGCACCAGTGAAACCGCGTGCCAACCCAGGTGGTAGGCTGGGGGGCCCCCGGGCGGCAGTTGCTGACCTTTGCTATTAAGGCGTATTTGCCTTTAATAATTGGCAAAGTAATCTGTTTTTAATCCAGAACTACATATATACACCATTTGTGATTAAAAAAGGAATTTGCTCATAAGAGCAATGAAAAAAATTGGATGTCAATGCTGGTGTGATTTCAATGAATTTGAAGGAAAGTTTCCGCTGATGGAGGGTCCCTTCACGTGGTTGGAGGCCCTTTAGAGAGAAACACAGGCCAAAATCAAGAACAGTGTCCACAAAGTTTTAGAGGAATAAAGAGAAGAGATTTGCCCAAGTCTTCAACACATGTGCCCCTTGCCCTCTCGTGGTCTGGGCTCATGGCTTTGCTTATCTGCCAAAGCACAGTTCATGAAAGAGTCGCTAGAGCGAAGGTTCCCTGGCTAAATGTTTGCCATGTTGCTCAATGTTCATTAACCCTGACTGATTGTGTGTCTTCTGGCTTCAGTTCCAAGGAAATGTTTGTCTCCCCTAACTAACGGAGGGCTTCCTCTTATCAGATGCCAAGGGTTCTGTGCGATTCAGCATGTTGTCTTGGTCATCTGTAAGGTCAGCGCCAGGCTCAAGGCTCAGCCATCACGAAGCTTTCCATCGACCTGTGAGACGCACTTTTCCTTCTCTTCACTGATTCCTACTTTTTCAAATTGTTAACAATTATCTGCTGCTGGTGCATAGGATCCTTTACAGTAAATTCCTTCAAACGCCTTTTAAAAATTTGTTCTTTTTAAATATACTTGAATGCTTTCTTGATTTACCTGAAACATAAACTAAACATTGTAAATAAAATTAATCCGATCATATCTGCAAGGGGAGTACTGTTGTCCATGAAAAGGTCCCCCAAACTAACATGGATAGTATAATAAACAGCACTAAATATTGATAAGTCCTTCATCAGATTTTTGTAAGAAAGCATATTCTGGGCTGAGAACAGGACCTTCAGCTGAAAGTCCAACAAACCTGGGCTGCGATTTGAGCTCCAACTCAAGCCTAGCTGTGTGGTCTTGGGCAGGTTTTAAAACTGCTCTGAGTCAAGGTTCATCATCTGTAAATGGGTAGAATAGCTGTCCCTACCTCGAATTAAATAAAGCAATACATAAGCTGTGCACACAGCACAATCTCTGGTCTATGGTAAATGCTTTTAGCTAGCTGACATGGAATGCTCTTTTTTGAAAATTTTTGCAGCAGTTTTGCTGTCAAATGCAGGGGATGGGCTGTTGGTTTAGCTTTCAATTTGAGGCTCAAGGTCTCTCTGAGCATCGTGTGCTTTTCTGTCTGTCCTCTCATTTTTTCCTCCAGCATTTTTGAGTGATTTCTGCACCAAGCAAATGGAGCACGACCTAGTATCTGAGAAGTTTGTTACCAAAAAGAGCCCGCGTAGGAACACCATCAAGTGCGCTGTGCAGGGGCTGTAAGTGTTGACCACAGTTTACGTTTTTTCAGTTATTTAAACCAGCGAGCTGCTTTCCGCTTGTGTAATTTCTACCATTTCCTCCCCAAGGCTCGTGACTCTAACTACCTGGGGATCAGTGGTATTTTATGGTACTTTTTGGAGCCTGGTGAACTTGAGGAGAAGGTGGAATGGGAAAGAGATTTCATGCCACGATCTTGTTTTATGCCTAGACCTAATTCTCCTAATTCCCCACAGTTACCCCACTAACTTGTTCCTCCTGACTCTAACATTTAGAATATGATGATATTTTCCTTTTAGTCTTGGTTTCCTTTAAGAGGCACTGACTGACGAGATGATAGAGCCACAAACCTGGGCTGCGGTTTGAGCTCCATCTCAAGCCCAGCTGTGTGGTTTTGGGCACAGATCAGAACCGCTAAATGTGGAAAAACAGGGCCGTGACGATGGCCAACAGCCCCATCATGGTCAGCAGGAGGGAGGCGAGGTGAGGGGATGAGGCCTTCAGAGACCGGGTCTTCAGGGGCTTCAGGATCCTTTGCTTCTGGGTGAGGATGGCCCTCCTGGCTCCTTCCCACTGCCCAGGCCCAGTCAGGCGGTACTGGTAGGAGTTGCAGGGCCCGAAACAGAGTTTCAGCGCCAGCTTCGGGTCTTGGAAGAAAAGGGAGACCAAGTCTGGCTTCGCACCTATCTCTGAGGCCAGCTCGTCCAGGTAGTCGACGTAATTGGTCTGCAGTATCTGGCTCTGGCTGGTTCCAAACCTTAATGAAGAAAGTGAAAAGGACAGATTCACATGAGTTCCAGGTCACACGGGAATACGCGGCATCCACTAGCTGCTGAAAGGATGGAGGGTGAGTGGAGGATGCATGAGCTTTGAATGAGTCTGGGTGGAAAGTGGAAATTTATCCCGGCAGGAAACCCTTAGTCAGACGGAGAGTGGGCCATAACTCAATAATCAAGAATCCCTGGGGACTCGGGGAAGCTGACAAGGGTGACTGGGACTCTCATTTAGTGTTTTTTTGAGCAGTTGTAAGTCTCCAGGCAAGGATGTACCAGTCAGGGTTGCTGCAGTCATGTACGACACATGCAAAAGCCAAGATGCTTGATATTTGCTTGTTAAGTTACTAATGTACCCAGAAGTCTGGCTGGCATGTAGTAGATGCTCAATAAATGTTAGATAAGGAGATAACCCCTTAAATCAGACGTAAGACTCCCGAGACAACTTTCCCAGGATATTCCATCGCTGTTGAATCCCATTCCACCTAAACAAAAATGGCTAATCCTTGGTTTGTCACAACAAAATCCTTTCCGGATTTATTTTGATGGGTACCCCCAACTAACTTTCAGGAGATCTTCAGGCTACTGTCACACCACTGCCCCATCCCATTCCCTCTCTAACTGGGGTGTGGGTGGCCTGAGAAGATATGGAATCTCACATGCTTGTCATAGAAAACTGAAACAAAATTACTCTAAGGAAAATGTTCTGATTTGGCAAAATTTCTAAGTAATTGGTTCTCAAAGTAGTATGTCTAACAATCTTCTAGGAAGAACAAAACTGCAAATTCCCAGTCTCATCCACAGAGCTTCTGATCTGGCTGGACTGGGTTGCAACCCAGCAATACGCACTTTTCTCAGCTAGGTGGCTTTTGTAGGTGGTCCGATCGCCGTACTTTGAGAAACACTGGCCTATGTAAACATTTTTTTAACACATGCTTACAGGTCAATTCTTCTTTCATTCCTGGTGACGATGTCCTCCATCATGGTCTTCTCTGTGGGCAAGCTGCACAAGCCTAGAAAACAGAAGTTTGGTTTGAGTCATGGGCACGATTCGGCATCCTGGCTCTGTCTAGCAGTTGGTTCAAAAATCCGCTTCAGGCCATTTCATCAAGTCCGACCAGACAGGACTGCTGGGTAGCCGAACTCAGGGGCGAGGCTGCTGGGGCCTTGTGTGTGACGCTCTCCTGCCGCACAGTCAGTGTGGGTCAAGGGGCAGAGGCTACGAGGAGAGATGGGGACAGTAAGCCCGTCTGAGGAGCCTGGAACCCGGCCGAGGGGCATGGGCTCTGTTCTGGGGGAGAGAGGACACTGGGAGCTCCTGCACAGGGACCACGTCAGACTTGCCTTTGGAAAGATCCATCTGGTGCCGTATTGGGGGAAAAGGCTGAAGGGAGGTGAGCCTACAGGTTGAGAGACCAGGAAATGGCCATCAAACCCAGGCTGGTGAGAGATGAGAGTGGCCCCCACTGATGAAGGGCAGTGGGCAGGGAAGGTAGATCAGGGCAGGACTCCTCACCGTGTGCTTGTGATTCCACCCCCTGCCCACAGGTGTCCTCTGAGCTTCACAGGTGTTGAGAAACGGTCAAGTCCCTGCTCGTGGCCAGCCATCTGACCCTCAGGTTCCGGAAGTCAAAACTGAGCTGGTCCTTGAAGCCCTCCTGTCCAGACTCGCATCCTGTTCCCAGCACTCTGTCCACCCAGGTCCCAGGGCTGGATTCTACAAGCCAGCCTTGGTTCCTGCTCTCCCCCTGTCGAACCACCCTTCACCCTGCTGGTTTCATCCTGAGCGATTTCGCACACTCCTGTCCTCTTCTCTGCTTTGTGCTCTGGCCCAGGCACGTGGTGTATCAGCAGAGACGATGGCAGGGGCCTTCTTGCTGGGCTCGGAGGCCCCAATCTCCCCCCTTTCTTTTCTCTGTTGGAATAATCTACCTTAAGTGCAGATCTGCTGATGCCTGTTCCTCGCTTATACCTCTCCACTGGTGTCTCTGGCTGAAGAGCTTTCTAAGGCTTAATCGCAGGCCAGACTTAATCAGTCAGGGTCCAGAAGTGTCCACCAGACAATTTTATGTGCAGCCAGATTTGGGAAGAACCAATTTGCACTTTGCAATCCAGGACCCTCAGCATGGTGCAGTTTTGCTTCCTGTCCCCGTCACCTTCCCCAAGGTTGCTCCCATCCCTCTCCACCTCACCCACGTGCTCTGGGAATGCCGAGGAGCTCACAGCTCGCCAGGTGCATGGACCTTTGTGCTCTCTCAGGTGGTTCCTTTTCTGCCCTAGAAATGCAGCCACCCAGGAAGTTGTCCTCAGCCGGATGCCCTCCCTTGTCCCACGCCATAGCTCTTGTGTGTTCCTATACCGAGGCATTTGCTGTATAATGTTAAAAGCATTTGTTTGGTTTTCTCTCTGTGCCCCCAGGTCCCAGCACAGGTGTTCAGTGAGTATTTTGTTGCAGAGTTGAACCCCAGAGGCAGGGGGGAATCACCTGCCGAGGAGGGTGAGAGCTGCCCCCGTGCCCGGGAGAAGCCTTTAGTGGGCACCTCTGCAGGGCTGTAGGAGGGCAAGCTGCCCACTCACCTTTGAAAACGCGTGTCGCCCAGCGTGCCTGGAGCTCAACGGTTGGGAAGATGGACCCCAGGGGCTGGATGAGACCTATGCACGCGAGGGTGGCCTTCTCCAGCTGCGGGGGGAACATGTATTTATACAGCGAGACCCTGTTATCCTCCACCTTGACGAGGGACTCTTCCAGGAAAGGGAAAGCGAAGGTGTATCCTGTGGCGAAGACAATGACATCGATGTCCTCTTCTACCGTCTCATCCTCAAAAATGGCAGAGGTTTCGGTGAGCCCCGTCACCCTGGGTTTCACCTTGACAGCTCCGTAGAGTATGCGGCTTGGGAGGTCATCATTCAGGACGGGTTCTTTCAGGAGGTATCTGGGACACACAGAAGAAAACACTCAGGACCACCTTTCACTGAGCCACCTTGGGCCCCCTTGGCATTTGGGGGTGGTAGCTCTGAAAACAAAGGGGTTTCTCAGGTATCCGCGACTCTAACCTGACTAGTTGGCCCGCCTCGGCCTGACTTCATTCTCAGTCCCCAAATCCCTCCCTTCAATAAAGAAAGGAAAACATGTAGGTGAAGTGAGTAAAAGAGAAAGCCCCCCTCCCCCGGGGGCTTAGACACAACCAGCACTCGGTCAATCCCCGGGAGGGCTGGGGACCATTATCCAATCGGTGCTTCTGAGTATTTTGTTATCAGCTTTATTTTGCCTTTTCATTTAATTCCTACCTGGTCAGAAGTAAGGAAGAGAAAACTTCACTTAATTAGTAATGAAACCTGCTGGGGGATCAGTGTGAGAATCAACATGTAAAATAGATATTGGTTGATCCTGAGTATCCATGGACTCTCTTTGTGGTAACGGGATGGTGGACTGAACTATTTCTGGAGTTCTATTTTTTTTTTTATGTAGATCTGAGAACCATTTTCTTTTTCTTTTTCTTTTTTTTTTAAAGTGCGACAGCACATGCACTTGTGTCAGGCCTCAGTACAGCAGTTGCCCGGTGTTTATTAAGATCTAAAGATCTATATATTTTTTTTTAAATGGAACGAGTCTCTTATCCACTAAAGAAAAATAAACATCCATAATGTTTGCTTGTGCTTACGATATCAATGATGTATATATTTGAGATCGACTAATATTTGTCTTTTGGTAAAGAGAAAGGAATATGTCCTCAAAAGCTGCCGGTGGGAGAGCCCTTGGGGTGCACCACCCTGGCCGAGCTAATCAGATGGGGAGCTATGTGCTTCCCACCGCGTCCCTTGAAAATAAGGTTGGGGTCCTTGAAGTAGCCTTCTCCAGTGGGGTCAACTCTGGTGCTAGAAAGTTCTTCCCATAAGCCCCAATTCTGCTTTTGGAGCAGCGTCTGACACGTCTACATAATCTTCTGAAATATATTTTTTAAGATATAGGGAACAAGTTTGGCGTTCACACTGCAGAACCCGTATGCTGCACGTACTGTTAGGTTATGGCTCAGACTACCTACCCTGTTAGCAACATGGATCTTTGTAAAGAGGGTCATCTTCAGACAACCTAGCTTACCGATGCACCAAATCATAGAAAAGCAAAATGACTCTACTTGTTTTGAGGCTGAAGACCATAATTTTCGTGGTTGAACCACCGATTCATCTGTTGCTCCCACATCCATTTGACAATGGCCCGTGGCAGAACATTCCGGAGCATGGTGCTGAATCTAGTGTGGAACACAGAGTCCCAAGGATAACCATCTTCAGAGATTCGGCTCAAGACCCAGGAGCCTTTTCTGGTGCTGATAAATACCTGGGAAATAAAAGGAGTGCAGTTTAAATCGAACACTGTTCCCCTGGGAGGAATCTACTGGGTAGGTGATCTAATGCGTATGGCCCCAGAATTCCCTGGGATTCTGTCGTGAAGATCAAGTCTGTTGTGAGGGGACATTGCCCTCAAAGTGAAGTCCTTCTAGTTTCACTGTCAGCTTTATCATCAATGGGGGACCCATGGCTTCGACGCCCCCCGAGGACTGCGTGGACACGTGAGAGTATCTCTGGGTAATACCAGAGGTCAGGTCCACCATCTCTGCTGTGTCTACAGAGTGGTTTTCTGCTTCCCGTAGATCCACTCGCCTTGCCCACCTTCCCCCATTTCTTTTATGGTCCAGGTGAATGTTTACAACCCTTGGAAGTGTGTGGCCACAGCCTGATGACTACACAGGCAAACGTGGGGTCTGCACCCCCCAGAGGGAGCACAGTAAGGGAAACTGCCTTCCACGCTGGGAAGAAATTTGCCATGAGTTTTAAAGGTTGAAAACTCTGAACAGATGCTGCGGTTCTGTTTCTCTTCAAGTACACACCTGGGTTCCCTTTCAGATGAATTCTTTTACCTTGTGTACTAGGACTTCCCTTGTTTTCAAAATGTGTAGTTTAAATCTCTTTTTAAATATAAGTGTTTTCCTTGTTGACTGTTACTCTCCCAATCTCCAAGTGCACGTTAGAACTGCTTGTCTCAGATTTTCACTTGTCCTTTTGAGTTCTACGGTTTAAGGCTGTCCTTGATAAATGATCCACTTAAGAAGTTAAGATCATGGACTCTGGATCCAGACTGCCTGGATTTGAATCCCAGACCCACTGCTTAGTCAATTGTGTAGTCCTGAGTGAGTTATTTCAACCTCTCTGTGCCTCCGTGTCTCTCTCTCTAAAATGGGGGTATCATTCAGATTAAACGAGGTGCTACGTGTGAAGTACTTCAGGTACTGCCTGGCGAGCCGTAAGCACTGCTGGCTGTTCCTATTTTGTAAATTCAGGCTGGAGGGGCTGGTTTCCTACAGTGACTCACATCTGGACTGAGCGTGAATTTGGAGATACAGTTTGTGGCAAGGGCCTCAATCCTTAGTCTGTGGGAGCACCCCCACAAAACACTGTTGGACTGTTGGTCTCTGCTTCAGTCTTGCTCCTTGGCTGACTTGGCAGGACTTTCGTTAGGTACTAGACACTGTCCTTCAGTGTTCCCTTTACTCACCACCCCAGTTCTCCCTTGGGGTTGGTCCCGGTTTCATACCAGACGTCGTGCCTGTTCTCTTTGCTCCTTCCTGCTGTGATCCTACCTACTGCCTGGGGGTCGCAGCTGGCCGGCCCCACCACTCCTGGAGCACATGCAGTTGGGGTCCGGCTCCGGCTGATCTCTCTGAGATGGGCTTCAGGATGGAGCGCAGAATTTTAGAGTTTGGAGGGAGTGCATGGATGACCAGCCCCATCCCACAGTGTCCTGAGTGGGGCTTCTGGGCTCTGGCCGTGGGGCTGGATCCTGTGAACGTGACCTTCTTTTAACAGAGCAGGACTCACTCAGGATCTTGGTTATTCAGCTGTAATGTAAGTTCTGCAGTTGCACCCGGTTCTGTCTCCTGTGTACACAGCTCTCATAAGACCTCTGGTAAGTCTTCTCCCAGGAGATTTGAGAAGGCATTATTCTGAATAGAGGTTTCATAAGTACAGATTTATGTGATTAATTAGTATTGAGGAGGCTTGGGAAAGAAGAATGAGCTATTAAACTCACAAATATGGCCAAGGTGGTTTCTTAATATTGAATCTGGCATCACAAGCAGGGCTTGTGCATGGCATGACCCCTGTGAAGGACTGGCTCTTGCAGTCCAGGACTTGGTATCTTTGGAGCATCCATCCAAAGCCCAGTGCCCTGGCCTGATGACCTGCAGTGGTCGAGGGTGGATTTTGCTTGATGGACGGCTACGTCAGCTCAGCTGTCTTCATCTCACCCAGTCACATGCCCTTCCTCCTGCCGTATAGGTGTCCCCAGTACGAGGGCATCGGGCAGGTGGCCCCACACCCCTGCTCTGCTTGAGCTTTGATAGTTACTGCCTTCACACTTGTTCTTTACACCGAGGTCTTAAAGCCTTGAAAAGTGAAAGCTGATTTCTTTTCACACTTGGGTCTAATAAGTCCTTTTCTGGTTTTAGTGACCTGCTGTGACCCTAGGTTGGCACTGAACAATTCTAAGTGACAGGTGACTCGGAAAGGTCCCCGTGTAACGCTTTCATTAACCTTCTGGGGAAACACCATGTGTATTTATCACATTTGCTACTGGGCATCTCAAGCGCTCACTGTATAAGACTCAAAGCAGGAAAGTTTTACAGGACAAAAAGACAAGGCTGTGGCTGCCTGTGCAGCCAGAGACAGCAGCAGAGGAGCCCACGGTAGAGTGACTGGGCTCCAGCTCCAGGCCCTGTCGGGAGCGGACACTGGAGGGAGAACCCTTAGCTGTTCCTCATCTTTGCCTGGGTCTGTCCTTCTAGAAGGGATTTATTTTCTGCCATTTATTTAAATATGCCATCTGTTGACCCTATCCACGTCTGGTAACACTTGACTGGTGGTCGGCTGGCGTCCTTCTTGAGTGTGCGGTGGTTTTGGAGAGCCACATGAACAGCTCCCATCCTCGGTGGGTGGCTGGCTATCTATTCGCTCTTTCTTTCCTGGTATTTGTGCAACTGAGCATTATCTATATTTCAAATACCCTGAATTTCTAAAAGGCAGTCCCCAAAATATGAACAGGTCAGCTTCTCAGTAAGCCCCCTTGGGAGAAACTAGGTCTCTTATACTGAAAATCATCTAGTCGCAACTTCCCCTTTTACAAACGAGGAAGCCACAGCCCAGAAGTGACATGACCCCGTCTAGGACACGTGGCTGGTTAGGGGCAGAGCGAGGAGGTGAGTCTGCTTCTGGACATCTAGATTTTCTTAGGTACCATACTGGGCAACCCAACCAACTGGTGAATAATGACTGATTTTGCAGCTGGGATGTGCCAGAGTGCCTGTCCCCCCGCTTCTCCCCAGGATACCAGGTCAGCAGAGAGCATCGCACCTGCGCAGCCTCCTTGCTCAGCTCAACAGCAATGTCCGAGGCCGAGTTTCCAATTCCAATCACCAGGATGCGTTTGCCCTCAAATCCAGCTGGGCGCTTGTATTGCCGGCTATGGAAATACTGGCCTTGGAACCTCTCGATACCTTCAGGGGGAAGAGGAGAGAAAGCTGTGAATGTCCAAGGGTGCAAGGGTGTCAGGCTAATTTCAGTGAAATGGCATTGTTGGCTTTGCCTTTTTGGGGTCAGTCACTCATTTTCCTTTATCCCCCCTCACAGGAGTTACAGCACAGGTCAGCTGGGAAACTCAGAGTGGAGATCAGGAAGGTACAGGGAGGGGTTGAAACAAGAGGCTGCAGCACATGTATTTACCAGACCAAAAATACGTTAGATGAACACAGCAAGTGAGATGCTGGCTTCTGACAACCCATGATTTGATTGTGGACTCTCTAGGGACACTTCTGTATCATACGGCAGATATTCTTTTAAATATCTTTTAAACACATTATGAAATGATATTATTATAATTGTATAATAATTAGAATACATTTATTATTCTAATTTTGCAAATGCAAATAAAAAATAAAATAAGCCCAAACCCAGGCATATAGAAGGTATGCACTGAGTAAGTCGGTAACCTGTTGGTGGTTGATTGCAGATAAGCATTTCCTTGTGCTTTCCTGGCCACCCTGGTCACTCTTCCCAGGAACACATGACCTTATTGAAGCACTTGTCTTTGGTTGTGTTGTTACTTGCAAGAACCATTGTATCTTGGTTCTTAAAATGGGGGCCGTGGCCAGCAATGTCAGGATCACCTGGGAACTTATTAGAACTGCAGATTCTTAGCTTCCTGCCAGGTATATGGGATCAGAAATCTTGGGTGTGTTTCTCAGTCTGCCAGGTGATTCTGTTTGGGGACCATTGCTTTGGACAGGAAGGCCCAACCCTGATGGCCTGTTAAGTGCCCTGATCAAGCCTGCCACAGCCTCGGAGTCCGAGGCGGCAGGAGGACCGCTGCATTCCAGGTCTTCCTGCAAGGGAGGGCTTGGGCAGCCTCAGGACAGACAGCGCAGTGCTCCTCTCCTGCCCTCCTCCCCGTCACAGTGCTGTGGCAGCACTGAGTCCCACTGCTGACTGGGCATGGCTCTGAGGCTTGGGCTCCAGAGATACAACAGACTCATCTGCGTTTGGCAGCCACAGGGCTAACAGGGCCTCTCCTGCGGAGAGCCAGTGTGTGTGAGAATTCTCTGGAAAGCCTTGTGACTTTAAAGGACATCAGAGGTGGATACGTGGATGGTGTTTGGAGTCTTTGATCTTTCCAGCTCCATCCCAGTCTTTCCATTACCCCCAGGCCTGGCAGCAGTCCCTGCCTGTCACCAAACTGCATGTGAAGTTCCAGCACACCTGCTCCCCACCGCGAGTCCCCTGGCCTCACCTGGAAAGGACTGCAGGGGCATGTGGGGCAGGATGTGATGGCCACTGCAAACCATGACTGCATCAAAAATGGCGCTTTGCTCCTTGCCGCTGCTCTGGGTGACAACTTCCCACTGGCCAGAGGATGAGAAATCCGGGCGTCTTTTCACATGGAGGACGGTCGTCTGGAGCAGACACAGAGGGGGCGTCATTTGAGAAAGGCTCAGGCTTGGCGTGGGCTTCCCGGGGCCTGGGAGTGGGGGTGGGTGGAGTGTGATGCAGAACCCCCCTTAGTTCTCCTCCAAGCCCCCGCAGCGCCCGTCCCTGCAGGCCCCTGAGGCGAAGGATGCCAAGCGTGCCCCTCCCATTCTCTGACGGGCAGCGCCGGGATGTGCTGCTCTGCGCACCAGGCCTGACTCTGCAGTGGGGGCCCTGTGCTGAGGGGGCCGTGCTGAGTGAGGACTTGAGGGAGAAAAGAGAAGGAAGGCAAGTCTGCTCATGCCATTCCAGGGCCACACAGCAAGCATTTGTCAAGAAGCACTTAGGGTGCCCCTGTGTGGGGGCTCTGCGGGAGCAGAGATGTCTCACGTGGAGCACTCTGCAGAGAGCTTGGCAGGTTGTCAGCCCTCCATCGAGTGGTATTGTTAAAGTTCATTATTGTTGAGAGTATGACAAGTTAGCTATGCAGTTCAGGATGTCATCTGCTTGAAATAATTTATTGCTTCTCTAATTGTTTTTAACAAGCCCATTGTCTGGAAGTCTAGTAGTTTAAAAAGTGTTCCTAAGTGTTTCATGCCGGAGGTATTTAAGAAACAAATGGAAGCAAGCTTGCCACACGTCTAGAGGAATGACATGCTGTAACTCTTGCTTTCAAGTATCTGAGTCTCCTCTGTACACACTATGACTTGGGTAAGTGTCCCCCAGAGGCCCACTCACCAAGGGCTCGGTCTCCAGCCCACGGCACTGTTGGGAGGTGCTGGACCAAATAAGAGGTGGGGCCTAGCAAGAGGAAGTCTGGACACTGTGGGTGTACCCTAGAAGGGGACATTGGGCTCAGTCCCTTCTTGTCTCTGTTCCCAGATGCCATGACATTGGCAGCCTTGCTCCACCGTGGGTTCCCTTCCACAGCTACTGCCTCCCCACATGCCCAAGGCAGTGGGCCAGGCGAACATCACTGAGGCTTCCAAAACCACGAGCCAAAATGAACCTTTCCTTCTCTGAAGCTGATTAGCACAATATTGTTTAAAAAAAATTAGACATTTTTCAAAATACCAGTTTGGTGACTTTTAAAAGCTGTCTCAATTTAAAAATGGGTAGGTGACATGGATGGAAAACATGTGAAAGAGCTTCACAATACGTGGGTAGACAGCAGCCGAGAGAAGCTCTCAGATTTGTAGCTCAGAGTTGCCCATTAACCAAGCACTGTGAATCCTTGCTATTCCAGGTGTGATCTAAGGACCAGGGCCTTTAGGTCACCCAGGAGCTTGTAGGACGTGCAGACTCTGAGTTGTCATTGGGAGCCTGTTTAACCAGAGTCTGCACTTGAACAAGCTCTCTGCGTGATTTCATCTGCAGTTGAGAAGCTGGTGCAGGTTACGTTGCCACTCAGCAGCAGGGCCTTGCACAGTTCACCTACTTCTTCTATTTTATTTTTAATTTTTTTTCGCTTTACCCCTTAGTTTTATCCCCAATCTATATATATATATATATATATATATATATATATATATATATATATATATATTTGCAGATGGACACAGTACCCTTATTTGGTTTGTTTATTTTTATGTGGTGCTGAGGATCGAACCCAGTGCCTCACAAGTGCAAGGCAAGCACTCTACTGCTGAGCCTCAATCCCAGCCCTCCCAATCCTTTTATTTATTTACTTTTAAAAATTTGAAACCAGATCTTGCTAATTTCCTGAGGCTGGCTTGAAACTTGTAAGCCTCCTGAGTTGCTGGGATTACAGGTGTGCACCACTGCACCTGGCCTTTTTTTTTTTTTTTTTTTTTAATGAGGTGACATTCACTTTATTAATTCTTGATGCAGCATACAATGTGAATAAACATCAATGAAAGGCAAGATGGTTTTCATGCAGCATTCGTTTTACTATCTCTGAACTGTCAGCCCTATTATCTACTGTTTCTTGAATCAAGTCCTAACATCTATGACTTAGGTCAGCTCGGAGACCAGTAAACGGAAATCCCCACCCTCCAGAAAACAGTGGCAGCAGTAACATAATAAACAGGAGAAACGGCTCCCTTGTTAACTTTAACATGATCTTTAGAAGAACAGAGAGTATAAACTACATTTTACAGGAGGGCTGTAAGTTTGACCTACCATTAAGCTTCTGTTTTAAAGAACCAGTCATTCACAAGATAAAAGTACCAGGAACTGGGATAAACTACATTAGGTAAAACTGCACATTTTAACAGTGTTTACGAATATAGACTTCCATAAAAATTAGTAATTAAAAACTAATATGATACAAGTCTGGTACATGTAAAAGTAGAATTACTAAGAAAATGAGATGTATCAAAACAAATATGCCTAACAGTATTTATCTGAAATATGATTTAAAATTCATTTTCAATAATTTAAAATTCATTTTCCATATAGTTACTAGTTCTCAGAGTATATGTTAATGATAACAAGGCAGTGTGTTGAATGACAATGTTTGGTTATATTGTTGTTGATTATTTGTTTTTGAGAAAGCTCAGGAAAAGATGATTCCAAATGTATTTCAAAATGATCTGCCATCTCTGTGTTGCTGGAGGTTGTGAAATTAGCAGGGATAATAACCCACAGGCTTCTGAGGTGAATGGAGAGTAGCAAGTTTATTTAACACATATCAAGAAATCCCATTATAGAGAAGTTAAAAAAAAAGAGTAATTTGATTTTCTTCATATATCCTCTCAAGGGAAATGAGGCTAGGGACATTCAATGGTAATGGATATAGTTTAAATGCAGTTTTACCATCAATATTATCATCATTAAATGTTCAATTTTAACAGTTGATTTTCTTCTGTTAATGTATACGATCTACAAGACCAGGCAGGGGCAATCACACTCTTTGGGGGGATTAATATCATGCTCTAACCTTTTAACAAAGATAGTTTATTCACAATTTCTTCTATCATCAGGATAACTTTTTTATTTAAAAGTGAACTGAACTCATGTAGAGAAACTCATTTCCCCAAAAATACAGTACCTGGAATTGGATGTATTTTAGAAGATCAAACTTTTTGGCAAAAATCCTGAAATATTCCAGAAGTTTGGAATTGTGTAGGAAGTTTGGGAAATCTTCAGGCATGGGAAAGTCACTGAAACAGGACATTTCCTTGCTGGTGTTGGTGATGACGGATCTGTAGATACTTGCTCGGCCATCTTCTACGTTTTCCTGAAGGAGGGAGTGAAACAATTAGGGGTGGTCATGTACTGGAGCAATCCTTTGGTGTCCCACCTTTCTCACACTCCTGTGTCAAGTGACTCTGTAATGTGGCAGCAGGATAGAATGCATGGGTGGAGAGGTGCAGTGTGTTCCTCTGCTGGGACCTGTGTGCGTCTGCCAGCTTTGCTGAATGGGATGCTGTTGATGGGTGTGGCAGGGACCATTTATTTGGCACATTGCAGGATATTTAGTGTCTCAAGTCTCTACCTATTTAATGTCATCTTCTGGGAACCAGTTAACTGCTTAAATTTGCCCTCAAGGGACTTCATACACCCTTTCCCTCTTTAGGGACCATGATACGCTGGGACATTGGACAGAGAACAAGACAGAGAGTTTGACGTAAAATGAGTACATTTGGGAGTGGGGAGTTTTCACATCTTGCTTTGTATCTGCCTGCCTGCCTTCACTTTGTGCTTTATGCAACTTTCCCTTCCTCCAGTGATAAAGGTGAGCAGCACTGACATCGATCCAACCTTAAACCTGATTTCTGATGTCAGCAAATATGCTTTGGCAAAACCTGAAGCAGCCATATGGTTGAGTCTGATTTCTCCTACAAATGGTGCTCTGCAAAATGCCCTGCATGGGGAATCTGAAAAGAGCCGAGTATGGTGATTCAAAGTCTGTGAAATCAGTGTGTGGTCAAAGAGGCTTTATTAGGAAATTTAAATGATGCTACCCAAGAACAGCCCAATATGTGTTCTGAGGATGCACAGACTGCGGCGTAACGCAGAGCAATAGCACTCGCTGATTCGGTTCAGCATCAAGGCCCGTATGAAGACACAGAAAGCCTGTAGGAATTCACCAATCGAAAGAAGTGACAGACTTCCTGAGACAGCCCCAGAGGGTCTTCCACAGCGTGTGACAAGAGAAAGCCAAGATCATCTCTAGTCCAGCCTCACCCTAGATCAGTTGTGCATGTTCTTTCTCATCCTTGTTCGCACAGAACATTTCTTTCCTGCCCGATCTTTAGGTGGAGGTTAGTGTGGACTAGCAGAAGGGCGTTGGTCTCTAGAGTTAGATGTGAGTTTGAATTCACATCCTTCAGACTGTTTTGAGTCGGGGCCAGTGAGTGCCCCAAGTTCCAGCCTCCTCTTATGTACACAGGGCTGCAGCAGTGCACAGCAGCCGTGGCCATCCTTAGTGAGGAAGCCAAGGCTTAGACAGCCGTCAGTCACAGCTCACTGCTCACCGCAGCATGAAAGTCCACCAGGGTAGCTGCCCTGACGGGTACCAATAACTGCACGGGTGCATTCGCTGTCACCAACCTGAACTTTCTAGTATTTTCTGTTCAGAGGTTAAACTTGATCTCAAAGAGTTCAAAAGAGTACACTTATAGGATCTTGTCTCCTAAGTGAAAAGCTCCCTCTGTGTCCTAGACTTCACTGTGTCCTAATTTCAGGGGTTAGCAGCACCAATACGGGTGCCAAAGCTAAATGATGTAGGATCCTTGCTAAATAGAGGCTGTTCCTAAATGTCTTCTGCCCTCCTTCCCGTCTCTGTCTTCTCACCCACTCATGATGATTCCATCCCTCTTACTTACCGTAGGTCTTTTTTCATGGGTGTGTATTTAATTTTCCTGGACAGAATCAAAACTTGGACAATGCCTGTCACGATTGCACATGGCTTGGGAACAGCTAGTCAGGGCAGGCCAGTTTCCTGGGAGGTCAGAATTGACTGTGATATTTTGCTAACTGTAAGCAAGTATTGGAATCCTAAGGGGGTTTGCAATAGAATATGGAGGGGCTTCCCCCTGATGCAGGGATACAATGATCTAAACTGGATAAATAAACAAGGATATTTTAATTTTCAAATACTAGCTTCAAATTTCATAATACTAAAGCCAAACTGGTTTTTGACTGAACACAATGTCCTTGGCAAGACTGAGTGCCTGAGCACTATCCAATCAAGTGCTCAGAATAGGAAATATTTCATTAAGCAAAAAAAAAAAAAAAATTAAGATCAGACCAGATAATTTTGTGAGTAGCACAGAGTAATCAGTGAGGCTTTCTGGAATCAGAGAGACTGGGCTGATATCCCAATCCCACCTCCTCTAATGGTTTGGTAATCACGGACAATTACATAAGCCAGTCTCCTCATTGTTCCCTGCACAGTGGGACTCACTGATAACGCCAGCACAATAAGGCACTGATCACAATGCCTGGCTCAAGATATGTCCTCAGTCAGTGTTTGTCTCTTTTGCTATTATTACATACCACTAGAGTAAACTTTTAAAAGAAACCATAGATTAAAATCAGTCAGACTGAGACTGTTAAGCTATAGCCAGGATGTTAGTTGTTTGTTTTTAAGACTCAATGAATTGGCTTTAAAATGTGGTGGATTTTCGTCAGGCCAATTTTAAGGGAATTTGAGTGGTGAGATCTTGTTCTGGTGCCTGAGCCCATGTAGTGACCGTAGGCCAGGGCAAGGCTCACCTCCATGAGTTGTGCTTGTGCAGTTTATCAGCAAATGATGATGATATTAGGATTCTTATTTGAAGATCTTTATAGTTGTGTTCATTGGTAGACAGTAGTTTAAAAAAGTTTGTTGGGCTGGGGGTGTAATAAAATGGTAAAAGCACTTGCCCAGTGTGTATGAAGCTCCAGGTCCTATCCTCAGCACCCCCAAAACAAAATATATATAAAAAGAATTTTTTTAAAATGTTATTTCTTCCTGCTTTTAGTTGGATGAAATAGATGTGTTTGGATAAACCTAGGTAAAATGGTTTGTTGTTTTCCCAGGAGAAAAGGAAGATGATTAATACTGACTTCATAAACAGATACATATCAAGTGTTTATTCTGCGCAGGCCTCGAGTTTCAACTTAGGGGTAAGATGCAAACATCTATGGTTTGTATGGAGCTTATTAGTCTATGGAATTAAAATGCATCAGGGCTTTGGGGACATGAAAGTGAAGAAACTAAGAGAAGAGAGGCTTTGGGGTCAACCAAGACAAGGACAGGGAGATACAGATTCCAAAACAGATAAATGAACTTACTTGTTTACTTAAAATACAAGCACTTCCTAAAGATGATATTAATGCACATAGAGACTGGATTTGCTTATGGGTCAAATTTGCTGCAGTTTACTTGGTTGAGACAAATGGTCATATGAAGATTTTCCTCATTCGAAATTTTCAGAATGTCAGAAAACTGTATTTCAAAACTAAATTAGTTCAGGTAACAGTGATTTGGGATTTGTCATCTTTTTAAAATATACATATTTTTAGTTGTAGTTGACACATACCTTTATTTTATTTATTTTTATGTGGTGCTGAGGATCGAACCCAGTGCCTTGCACATGCTTGGAGAGTACTCTACCAGTGAGCCACAATCATAGCCCTGGATTTATCATCTTTGACCATGGACTAGATTAAAGCTATTTTTGACTTTATGAAAATAGAAAGGTTGTCAAAACTAAGTAAGATTCAAAGTAGAATATATATAAGCTACTCAAGAGAGCAAACTTATAAAGCAAAATTAGATTCGCTTGTTATGAAGATGAATTACAAAAACCTACACATTAGCCCTTTTTTTGTGTGTGTGTGAAACATCGTCATATTGACTTTACCAATCAGTACTTTGCTCCCATGATGGATAGTTACTCTACAAAGTTAGAAATAATAAAATTACTTTTCTTTGAAAACTTTCTATCATTCTATCTTTTCACTCTTTGGGATGGATCTTACATCCATCTACTGTACTACATGAATATGTTTGAAACTTTTTACTTCTTTGTCTGACAACTGAACACAAAACTATGGTTTCCAAAGGCATTGGTGGTCCAGTTACCCTAGAGGATTCGGGAGCTCTGAAAAACACCAAGTTTGAGTAGGTCTGAATTGTGCCCAGATGCCTGCGTTTTGGAAGAGCTCCCTCACTACTCAGATGTGCAGAGGAGTCAGGGAGCCGTCTAGCATCCCTGCATGCTCCCGTCTATCCACTGGGCTGGCATCTCTTTGGATCACTGGCCTTGATCACTCGGAGTTTTCTCATGCAACTTCCCAACTCAGGTATTTACAAGGGACACAGTCTCCTCATGACGGACCCTGTCCATTCTCTGGAGCTTCAAAAGTTGTCACTCCTCCACCTGCCTCCTTCATTCCAGCTGTGCTGTGACTCTGTGTCCTCTAAGACTCAGGTCTCTCAAGCTTCCGTACTTCTGCATATGCTGTTTGCTCTGCCTGAGACTCTCTATCTGCAACAGACCCCATCCCTAGTTATTGTCAAGACATAACAGCATCACACCTCATGGAAGCCTGTTTCCTACTGGGTGAGGCTCTGTGATTCCAATAGCAGTCAGCGTGTTAGCCCTTATAAAATTGCACTCTGGAAGGGATTTTCTTTTGTATTCCTTCCTGAGGTACAAGCTCCTTGACAGCGAGGACAGTACATCTCTGTATTTTTAGCACTTGGTATGAGTCTGGAGTATAGGAGGCTTCAGTCAATACATTTATTGAATGAGTCATGCTAACCAGGAGCCTTTTCTATCATTGCATAAAAGACTTAACAATAAAAAAGTAGGCATTCACTAGTTTTGCTGATAGTACACTATAGACTTTGTTCTGTTATAAAAACTTTAAGGTTTATCTGATAGTATACTATAAATTTTATTCTATTCTATTGTTCTTTAAACATGTTAGGAAAAGTTAACTTATATCTTAGACCGCTGGTAAACAGAACTATGGGATCATTATATTGCATGTTTGATTGCCTGGAGAGTTACATGTATTTAACACATTAAATTTGGTTCTGTCAAATGGGCAGCAGAGTGTCAAAATCCATTATGGTGAATTGTGATGTGATAAATTTATCTAGGAGAACCTCTGCAAGAAAAACGAGGGTAAGGCTGTCGTTATGTCTTCTATTAAGGAGATGGCGCTTTGCTCTAAACTCATCCAGATAAGACAATACTCTTAAGTGAACAGATGCAGCTAACAATCACTGCTGGTAGCAGGCCCGCCCTGGCCCCTGGGGACTCAACCCCCAGTTCTTTGTTATGCATGTCAATGTGGCCAGCTCACAAGGCTTGCGGTTCCCTGTTTATCTGCCTAGAGCATATATGTCTCTCGGGAACATCTTGACCTGTTCGAGCCTCCTGATAGGGGACGGTGACGTGACAGTAACCCAAGGACGCAGTTATTACTCTTCCCTCCTCACTTTTGAGTGATTTCCCGCAGCTGTTAAAAAGATATATAAGGGGAACAAATTTGGCAATAAAGCGCGCACACGCTCCCTCCTGGATGAAGAACCTTGGTGTCCTGTGTATTTTTAACCCCGCCGTCCCTCGCCGGACTCGGCTCCGTTAGCCGGACGCGGCAAATCACATGCCAACTAAAACAGGAAAGGCTGCGAGGAGGAGGAAAGCAGGTGGAGTGCATACTGAGGTCAGGGAGAGGGAACCATAAGCAAGTCCCACCGGGTGCTGGCCCAGGTAACCGCTTCTCATTTTTATCCTTCTATGATCTACATTCTAATCAATAACTTCCATGGACACAAACGCGGATTGTCAAAGTTGTGAAGACCCAAAGCAGGGAAGCAGACAGTGATGACAAATGGTTGATGTCAGATAGACTTTTCTCAACCAAGGATCAAACCAACTAATGTTTAATACACACGAATGAGAATTCTTCTAAGTAGGGGTAAAGCAATGAGCCTCACAAGAACAGGATAATAGTGACTTGGATCATCAGTTGCTCAAATGGACAAGACCCTGGGGTTTTAACAGATCCCCAAATCAGCGTGAGTCACGTGATGAGAGAAGCAGTGCAGTGGTGGACCACATGTGCGTATTCTCAGTTCTGTGGTTTCTGAGAATTGTCACCGCCTAGTCATATGGGCAAGACTCTTCACCTTGACTTCCTTATGGTGTTGAAGGTTATTGCAAGTATAAAATGAGATAATGCATGTGAACATAATTCTACCAACGTGAGCTTTCATTTCTTGAATGCCAATGCAACCTTGACCTGCCTTAGTGGAGGCCACTGTGCAGGCTGTGGGCAGCGCAGGCCCAATGTGCAATGTCAGGCCAGGTGATCACAAATGTGCTGAGGACCGTGCTGGTGTCGGATTCACTTTTTACTGTCTGAGGCAGTGCCCGGCATCTCTTTGACCCTGAAAAATGTCTTTGGAGAAAATAAATTTATTTGAAATATTAGACCTTGGTGGAGTCATGTTTTAAGAGACTAAAGTGATATTTCAGACCAACTCTAGAGGAAAGAGACTGAGACATCTAGAGATTGTTATGTGAAAATTAATTGAAATAGCTGGGCACATGCCCTGGGAGAGGGGAGGCTTGTGTGTAACAGGAAAGCCGGGTGCATTGGTTACCTCCCCACGACTACAAGGCATTGGGCATAGGCAGAGAAGGCTAATGGCTCTCTCCGTACCTCAGTGAGGTTGTTAAATGCAAAGGCTCAGACCTTCCTTTGTGTTCTTTTGCATCTATTATGTTCCCCTGGGTGTTATTTATCTCCATCCTGAATTTCCGGTTCAGATATCAGTGAAGACAATCCCAAGACCTCCTTCCCATGGGCATAGTGAAGAGAGATGCATGCGGAGTGCTTCTGTGCTGGGAAAAGTGCTAGAGCATGATCTCCGCCCTGCCTGTCCTTCCAAGATGACACTAGGGGGCGCTGGAGAAACTTCTAGTAGAATTCAGCACCAAAGCTGGGCTTGGGACAAGGATTTTACATTTTTTTTTTTCTTTTTTAAACTGTCACTACTACATATTTTAAGTGATTTCCAAAGGATTGTGTGTAAACAGAGAAATTAGTGAAAAACTCATTTAAAAACCAATTTTGGGTGTGGAGGGATCTCATGAAAATAGAAGGGAGATAGTAGAATGGGGTAGAGGTCTAAAGGGAGGGAAGAGGAGGGAAAGGGGAGGTGGCGGGGAATGAAAGGGATAGATTATATTGTGTGCAGCACAAATGTGTAACAACGGGTGCCATGATGTGGAATTATGATGCACCGATAAGTAAATGGGAAAAAGAAAAGATTCTGGGTGGTAGAGTTGTGAAGAGGCGTTTCCCCGTGAGCAGGGGGCTTGCCAGTGGCCAAGTGGCCCCCTTGGCAGTCTCCAGAAAGATCCTTTTGAGGCCCTGGGGGCAGCCTGTGTAGTTTTGATTACTGTTTCCCCTGCAGAGAGGTAGTATGTCTTCAATCACAACAGAAATGACCAGCATTTTATATCACCCTCTCAGGACCAGCTATAATAGTCTAATGACCCGTTTGAAAGAAATGAATGTGATTCAAGCTGGTTTTCCAGCTTTCCTCTCTGCAAAGCCACGTGTCTCATGTGAGGATCGATCTCTCCATCACTGACCCTGAGAGTGCTTGTAGAGCAATATTTCCTGTTTGATATTGTACAGCGCTTGCCAGACTTGTCTCATCACAAGATTCATTGGAAATCTTATTAAAACCCCCCAGGAGACTCTGATTCTGTAGGTCCGGTAATCCGTATCTTTAAGAACCCACATAGGTGTTTCTCAGGTCAGATTACATTTGAGAAGCCTAATGTTAGAAACATTCCTTTGGAATGAGTTTTGAATTGGCAAAGCACATATTCCGGGTGACCTTGCCATGCCCCTAGTTGGTCAGCCTGTAGGAAGAGCCCTCCGGATGGCCACTGCTGACATGGTTACATCCCCTCTGCATGGATTTGAACATTTTGCTCCTGTCTGGAATGTTCTCATGTGTCTCGATACCTCAGTTAGATATACCTAATACATAACCCTTAGGTTGCATCTCCTGAGTTATGAATTTGAATTTTGGTTTAACCTTTTTGAGCAAGAACACAAGTTAGGGCATAGTGATAAGTAGGTGCTCAGCTGCCTGGGATTGAATGTGACGCCTCGAGCTGCGTGGCCACTGCCAGCTACTCAACCTCCCTCCTTCTCTACTTGCTTGTCCGTAAAGTATGTAGACACTGTTAGTAGCTAACAGAGAACTCTGTGGGGGAGTCGGGAACTGTTCTAAGTTCTTCATGTAAATGATCTCCCCTCATCCCCAAAGCAGCACTGTGAGATAATTCCACGTCTCTGATATTATCCCCAATGTAACCACGTAAACTGAGGCACAGGGATGTCAGTCACTGGCCCAAGATCTCACAGCAAGGAAGTGGCAAGTCAGTACCTTTTAAAAGCTTGTGGGAAGGAATGATTGTGAACCTTCATGTGCCTTTCTGATTTCAATACAAATCCTAAAGGATGGCTAGCAGTGTCACTATTGGCACTTGGTGAAGAGCAAAAATTGAAATAATACAAATATTTAATGAAGAGTTTCATGGCAGTTATACTAGCACATAATCTGTAGTTTGGAGAAACAAACGTGGTTATTTGTGGGAGAGAATATCAGAAGTGATGGGGCACATTTTCTGAAGAAGCGTTTGGCTCAGTGATTGAAAAAGGAGTAAATAGTGCCTTGAAAAGATTCCCGTTGCTGCTATTTTTTAGATGTTCTCCAACGTTAGTATAGTCCCTAATTAGTACACCAGAGAATAACAAAAATATGGGCCACGAGACGATTGCTGGATACAAAGGATGCCTTCCTGGGTTGGCACCTGGGCTAGCCTAGTGTTGACCTGGGCAGAGATGCCAGCCTGTGACTCAGGTTCCTGAACAGCTCTAGATATCTAACAAGAGAACTGGGTCAAAGTCACCCCTGAAATCCCTGCATAGGGCCACAAGTAGCTATGATTCACCCTGAAATAGCAGCATCACCCAGTCAAGCTGCAAGGAAACCTCACTTACCTTGAACCTCCACAGCCCACCGATGTCTTCTGTCCTCTCAAAGCAAGTGGGCTCCAGCCCCTCGTCCACACAGCACTTCAGCGAGACCAGGCCGCTGACCCCGGCTCCGATCACTGCCACCTTCTTTGCCATGTGTCCTGTCAAGGAGTTGACCGGTCATTACTGCTTAACACAGGTGAGAGAGTCCCTGTGGTGTGGTCAGGTTAGCTGGTTTTAAACAGTCTCATGGTAACTCAGTGAGCAGCACTAATTGAGTGAAACGCCTCGCTGGTCAAATCCTAGTCTCCTTTTCCCCTTGAGAGATGCTGAATTGTCTTGGACTCGCTTGCAGACCTTGTTTATGAGTCTCGGTTTAACATTAAAAACAACCCCTTTAACAAAGCCAAAGTATGCAGTAAGGCAGTGTGTGAGGTGAGCCAAGCTCGGTCGTGTCCCTCCGGGTCCTGAGCCCTTCCTTCTCTGCTCCTGGCTGTCACGCTTACCTTGCCTTTGAGCACTGGCCCTCTGAGAGCAGAGTTCTCCCCATTGTGTGTGTGAGCTGGAGACAGTCTTAAGAGGCAGAGGTGCTGTGGGAAGCGGGAGGAGCTTCCTGCTCCTCCCCCAGCATTCTGCCAGCTGAAGTTCCAAGGAGTCCTGGGGTTAAACAAGAGGCTCAGTGCTCCAGCCAGGTAGTGACTGAGGACCAAGGCGCACTCTTGGCACGCCGTGCAGGTGGCTCGGAAGTTCATCTTATCATGGGTGTAACAAACGTGCATTGATTGAGTTGATAAAAATGGACAAATAAAAATAAGTTAAAACCATCCCTAACCTAAGTGCCCATTTTGATATGTTCTTCCACCTGCTTATATATATATATATATATACACACACAAAATGGGATGGCACTCCAAGTTTGATTTCCAACTTGGTTTTTTCACCACCAATAACCTTGAACATGTGGGTGCGTGGCTAATGGCGTGTGACTTCCATTTGGCTGATGGCACAGCCTCTCCTGACCGATTCTCATTTCTGCACGTGAGGCACCTTTTCTGGCACATCACTGTGCCTGGGTGGGCAGACAGATTGGGTCCCCGATCTCCTGGAATTGACGTTCTTGTTCTGGCCTGGTTTTTAGACTTGGTCGCTTCGGGGTCCCAGCATGCTGTGGTAGCCTGTGTGCCTTGCTTGCTCGCCCTGCTCAGACCCACTTCTCACCCAGGTTTCTCTGGTTGGGTGAACGCGGCTTGCGTGAAGCTACGGGGATTTCTAAGCTCTTCCAACCCACACCCTTCTTTTTGGCTTGATGGAGAACTGGATAACTTCCTTTTGCTTACACTCTCGGTTATTAGCATTAACATTAGAAAACTAAGGCTGGGGGTTGTAGAGCCCTCGGGTACCTCGGATGTGGTGGAAATGATGAAGCTAAGGGACTCCCCTCTGCAGCCCAGCAGGACCAGTGGCTCCAAGCACCTGAGCTGTTGGTATAAATTCCTTAGATAAATATCGACACTTCCTAGGTGCCAGTCGCTGTCCAAGTGCTGCATCTACAGCAACGAACAAAAGGGCAAACCCCTGCCCCCGTGGACCTTGCTTTCTAGTGGAGAGAGCAGCCACCGATGACATGAATAAGCAGTAGGCGGAGAGGAAGCTGGGGAGAGGACAGAATGGAGAGGACGGGAGTGTCGGAGGGAAGGGTGGTTGATCAAGTTGCATATGGAGTTCAGGGAGCCTTACTTCCCTGAAATCCCCTACACCAAATTCGGGCACAGTGAGAGGCTTTCTGTGTCCAATGAAGAGAGTAGCTCGATGACAAGGTGACGATAACAATGACCAAGACACAAAGGAGCTGGACACATTTCTCAGTTAAAAAGAAAAACAATTAAGTTGCTTCATTGTCAGTTGGGCCACAGATTTTGTAAATAGCCCATGAACAATTCTCCAGCTATGCCCTGGCTGTCCCTCGTCTGGTTGGTCACGACTCGTGGAAGCCCTGCTGGCAATGAGTACGCCTTCTGCTCACACAGAGAAGAAGCACCTAGGTATGCCAGCAAGTGTGTAAGTGACACACGTGGGGCATGACAGAGGAAACACGCTGTGTGAAGCCCTTCCAGACCTGGCCACACCACGCACACAACGTGGAACAGCAGGAGTGGGCACCAGGTGGGAAGCCCCCGTGCAGGCAGTGCTGCCTGGCAAGTGCTTCCCAGGCCAAAAATTGATGGTGTCCTTTGAAGCACAGAAGTTTTACTTTTGATAAAGTATAATTGATAAAGTATAATTGATTGTTGTTGTTTCTACTTTTTAACTGGCACGAATAATGCTGCCGCATGCATTCCCTGTAAGTTTCTGTGTGGACATAGTTTTCATTTCTCTTGGATATATACCTAAGCAGTGCGTTTGCCAAGTCATGGGGTAATTCTGTGCTTAGCACTTTGAGGAACTGCCAAACGCAGCTGTGCCGTTTTACATCGAGGTGTTTGACAGGCCCAGTTCTTCCTCATCCTCTCCAACACTCGACATCGTGTGCCTTTTTTGGTTATAGCCAGCCTAGTAGATGTGAAGTGGAATCTCTTTGTGGTTTTGATTTGTATTTTCCTAATGGCTCATCATGTCGACCATCTATTAATGTACTTGGCCATTTGTATATCTTTTCCGGAGAAATGTCTATTCAGATATTTTGCCCATTTTGTCTTCTTATTCTTGAGCCGAGGCTTCTTTATGTATTCTAGATACAAATCTCATCAGATGAATGAGTGGCAAATATTTTCTCTCCTTCTGATGGTTGTCTTTTAACTTTGAAGCCCAGAAGTTTTACTTTTGATGAAATATAATTGATCTATTTTGATGAAATTTCTGAAAAACAGAATTTATGCAAGGTCATCTTGACAGAACAGAGTAGAAGCCATGGCTGGAATGGGGACGAAGCCTGGGGCAGAGACAAGAGGGACCCTTGCGGGGTGGGGGGCAGGGGAGGGGGGGAGGAGACACCCAGAATACCCACCACTTATGTAGCCCTTGTCATTAGCCAGACCTGACCGAAGTTCTACTTGGCTTAACTTGATCAATACGACAATCCCGGGACTGGGGATGTGGCTCAAGCGGTAGCGCGCTCGCCTGGCATGCGTGTGGCCCGGGTTCGATCCTCAGCACCACATACAAACAAAGATGTTGTGTCCGCCAAAAAAACTAAAAAATAAATATGAAAATTCTCTCTCTCTCTCTCTCTCTTTAGAAAAAAAAAAGAGAGAGGAAAAAAAACTTAAAAAAAAAATACGGCAATCCCACAAGAGAGTGAATCTTGTTAGCCACGGCTTTTGAGTGAGCATGTTGATACACACAAGGATGAAACGGAATGCTTGAGGTCGCTAGAGGTCACACAGGAGGGCTCTGGATCCAGGGCATCTGTTCCACGGGATGGGCTCTTACTCACCACGTGAACCAAACTCAGGAAGCCTGTGTGGGGAGAGGCCACACCTCAGGATGTTCATTAAGATAATAATTAAATAAGCATCCTTGGAATTGCTGGGCTAATCCTTCTTCCGTACTTCCACCCGTCATCTCCCATGGGATTGGGGACGTAGTATTTGTCCAGTATTAATTCTAATTAACAGCAGCAACATGAAAAATATGGCCTTTAGAATGGATGGTATTTTCATTCTCATAATCCACCACACCCTAGCATTTGTCATAGGCTTCATCTCACATCGCTTTTTCACTATTTCCTCGACTTTACCCATTTATAAAGTGTCACCCAGCTATTCCTTTTGAAAAAAAAATACAGTCTGGTAACTTTACTCATTATGGAAATATTTGACTTATTTGCATTTAATCTGTAAATCTATCATTTTACCACTTATATCTTATTTGCTTCACCTGTCCTATTTTCTTTTTCTTTTGTGCCCACTTTTGGATTATTAAAATACTTTATTCCTTTCCATAATTAGCTTATCTCCTACTGTTCTTTTTGGAGTATCCTTAGGGATTGAAATATGCAACTTTGCTCTTTTAAAGCGTGAGATGTGTTTGTATTTTTACCAATTCCAAGACAGTGAAAAGTGTGCCTAACCCTTTAAATTTATTATCCTCACACCTTGTAGTATAATGGTTGTGTAGATTTAGTTATTTTTGTGTTCACCACCTCACAAGACATTTTGGTTATTGCTACATGCAATCAATATTCCTTTAAATATATACACATTATTATCCCTTCACATCTAGTATTTTTGTACTTCCATTCAGGATCATTTTCAATTTTCTTAAACAACTCTAATACTTCCTTTAGTGTAAGTTTGCTGGTGACTATTTTAGTTTCTTTTTTTGAGTATGAATTATTTGACCTTTACTTTTGAATGATATTTCCAAAAGGCATAGAATTCTGAATTGGCAGCATTACAAATACAGCACTTAGAAGGTATTACGTTGCTTTCTGACTTCCATCATTTCAGTTGGGAAGTCATCTGTAAATTTTGTTGTGTGTTTGAAGGTAACAATTCCTTTTACCAGTCTGCAGTTAATCTTAAAATATTCTCCTTGTACTTGGTTTTTATTGGTTTTACTACAAAAGCATAGGTTATCTTGCTAGGGTGTTCTGGAAGGCTGGGTTTGGCTGATTAAAAACCCTTTATGGGTTGCAATTAAGGGCCTGGGAGTATTTTCCGGTTCTACTCTTCCTTGAACTTGGAATTTTGCCTTTGTAGCCCCTGGGAATCTGCAAAAGTCTGCCCTCTCAGTTGTTGCTCTCTAAATGGAACAGGTCTCAAAAAAAAAAAAAAAAAAAAAAAAGGCTGTTCGGAGGCGTCTGGCCCATCTCTGTGGGCTTTCTGCTTTCTAGATCTTGGTTGTTGCTGCCTTGGTAGTTCTCTGATAATTCAAGCAAATAATCAGCTATCCCACTCCTTAGTATCTATCCAATATAATTAAAGTCAGCATGGTTTAGAGATACATGCACTCTCATGTTTATCTTTTAAAAATCAAAAATTCTGGGGCTGGGGGATGTGGCTCAAGCGGTAGTGCGCTCGCCGGGCATGCGTGCGGCCTGGGTTCGATCCTCAGCACCACATACAAATAAAGATGTTGTGTCCGCCGAAAACTAAAAAATAAACATTAAAAAAAAATCCTCTCTCTCTCTCACTCTCTCTTAAAAAAAATCAAAA